ACCACATGGGCGTAGGGGGTGGTGAAACGCACGGCTAAAATCAGGGCGCCACGTATTGGGCCTTGAGCAAAGACTTCAAACCTATTGCTACGACAGTCTGACGAGGGTAACAAGCACCATGAGCAAGTTGGTATTGCTAACAGGATATGGTTCGTGCCACCACTCGAAGCAATGCACCGCTCTGAGTTGCTTATTCGACCACCAAAATTCCCCCAATTCACTTTCTTCTCCACAATGTGCACTCGAGACTTTCTTCGGACCACGCCAAGGCAAGCTCGCCTGCAGTCAACGATATGGCAAGAAAGGTCATCCAGATACGACAGTTTGCCCGCCTGCTTGATAACAAATTCGGCTTCAAACAGAGGGAAACATTTCTGCCTAATGGCGCCGATTGCACGGGTACGCTTTCGGTTATGACACGCCGTTACGCAACGCTCACAACCAATCACACACGGTCACAAAACGGGATTCCTGTCTCTCCCTACCTCAATAACAAGTGTCTGCCTTGCTCGCACAACACCGCTCGTCAACTTTCTACTACCACCGTCTCCCTGAGGGGGTTGCCCTAGTCTGTCGTGGTCTGTTGATTCCTCTACTCCGGCATCCGCAGCACGACAGCGGTCGTACAAGCCTGGCAAGTAGGCACGATAGGCGGGCATGTATCTGGAACAGAAATCTCGCACTTCCTCATCGGACATGCCCGCGCGCCCAGCCTCTCGCATGCGACGCTCGGCCTCGGCTCGCCATTCAAATACCATTTCAGGCTCGGCCGTCTGCTTGTTGCGAGGATGAGGTCGGGGACGCAGAGAGAGTTAGATTGATTCAAAAAACATTTCAGGCTCGGCTATCTGATTGTTGCGAGGATGAGGTCGGGGACGCAGAGAGAGTAAGATTTTTTCGAAACTTGTCGATGCTCAAAAACAACGAAATGTATGGAGATTTGCGAGAGGTATGACGAGGAGGAGATACACCATGCTCCAAAGGGAGGTGGTGCGAATTAAACGCACAACAGTGATATCTTCTACATACATGGGTCGTGCGGATGCCGTCATGTGCAACACTCTTGTGACAGCGCCAGTAAGATTTTGCTGTCGAGCTAGAGAATTTGTCGCTAGTACCTGTACCTTAAGCACTAGCCAAGCGTCGACCTCGTTGTGCAAGCTTTGGTAGTCCTTAAGGAACGTGTTGACAGCTCCGAGGCCATCGCTTGTGCCTGTTGACGAGTGCGGGCAGTACCACAAGAACGACGTCGGACGATTAGGTGCGACTGACCCAGGAAGGGTCTAACCAATCTTCTTCCGCATGGGCAGGTCTACCAACAACCGCGAGCGTTCCACCATGGATCACACACCGTAAGTGCGTCGTCACCCTGCTCTCACTCACCGCCGTCTGCTTCCGCTGCCGAAAGCAGCAAGGGGCTGTCGTCCGGCAAGGCTTCGAAGCCGAGCATCCACCCCTCCAACAGCAAAACGTCCGGTGGCATCGAAACCACGCTCCACTCCCCCTCGGGCGCGCGATCGCCCTTTCCCCCTCTCGCTGACTTGTCGTATCGGGGAACACGAACGCAGTCTTGGGCTGCCGGGTCTTCGGCTGAGGAGGGGGGCGATGGGCGGAGATCTCTGCTATCAACGTCGCTTGTGCCGTCATCCCCCCTTGTTAATGCGCGGATCGTGCGGAGCGCCAGGGCCAGGTCGTGCGTCCCCGCGTTGCCGCGGACCTGAAGCAAGGGATTGGTCGGGAACCTCGCCGCAAGAGCGTCCTGCGTTCACCAATGGTTGTCAGGTGCAGCCAAGAGATTTCGTCGGGGGGGGGTGGAGGGGGTTGGCAAGGGGAGAGCACGCGTTACGTTCTGCGACCTGCCTTGGTATAGCCTCTGTTTCTGACGAGTCCCGAAGCCGAACACACACTGCTGTCTGTTGTGGTATCACGACTCGTTGTTGCGATAGCACTACACATGCATAATGAGGTAGGCAAAAACTGTACTTGATGCGCAGAAAAGAGATGAAGCAGCAGTAGCAGCAGCAGCAGCAGCAGCAGACCTGCTCGGCTCCCGTGAGATAAAAGTCATCGATCGACATCACGACGCACTGGTGGCCAGCCTTCTCAAGCATGCGCTGCATCTCGGAAACGATCGTGGTCTTCCCGCACCCTTGAGGCGCGTTGATGCCGACGACCACCGGGGGTCCCTTGTCGCTACCGGTGTTGCTGCTGGCCCTAGCACGTTTCGAAACGTCGCCACGCGAGGATCGCGGGTGCTCGTTGGCCGTTTGTACACCAGCAGCAACATCCCGAGCAGATGACGACGACGATGATGATGATGATGGAGATGCCGCGGAGCCGCGGCTTTGACGTAAGAGGAGCTTGAGCCAGAAGTACACCGGGAGGTACAAGTGAAAAATTCGGCGATGCTGCGCCTCGGTGGACTTCAAAGGATCAACGCCGAGGGAGGCTGCAATATCGGCCGCGGCGGATAGCCAGTCCTCCTGTGCATGCTCGTCGTCCGCGTCCGCCCTCTGCTGCTGCTGCTGCTGCTGCTGTTGGTGGTGCGCGCTGTCGTCGTGCTTTGATGTCTTCGTTGCCGACATCGGTACTTCTGTTTTGTCCATACGCTGCTGCCGCTCTTGATACCGAGGCCCAAGAGATACGTATTCCATTAGAGACATTGGCACTGGGGGGCACTTGGTGTTGTCGTACAAATTCCATGTGTTGCCTGCAGCTGACTCGCTCGTATCCGCTGCTGCTGCTGTTCTTATGCAAGCAGCAGCACCACCAGCAGTGGGGGAAGCAGAGGAAGAGAAGCGGAAACGTACTCGCGGAGGTGATGGCTGTCCTCGTCTCATCTGGAGGTGGCATCGAGGGGAGGTGTCCCTAGAAACCTTGTGTGCCGACGGCAGTGACGGCACATGATATGGAGCGCTCTGCCATAGTACTTGAACCGACCTGCGTCTTCCGCCCAGCATCATCATCGTGCTATTGTTCCGCAGTTGACCTGTAGTAGCAGGTGCCGCCGCTGTGGATGGAACGGCCAAAGCACTGCAGAACGGCAACCGGTTGTAAGCGGCGAGCAAGATACCCGCTGCTCTGCGGCGACGTGCCCTCATCATCCCGCGAGGGTTGCGTAGCCTCTGGTCCGTGCATGCGACAGGATGAATGCTGGATCTACGCATTGGCTGGTGAAGTACAGGGATCTACGGAACTCGGAACCGGAGATTCTTCTGGAGAAAAAGCTTGCCGGTAAATTCTGCCTTGATTTTCCCAAGAGCAAAAAAAGGAAACATAAAAAAACCGAGAGCCGGTCAAATTCCGCCCGCGTGGATCTGATCTCACCAGGCTGGAGGATCGTGATCGTGACGAAATCCGAATCCAAAACGCTTTGTCTCCAGAACTAGAACCGACTCGTTGGCGGACTTTAGGAGACACGAGATCCTTGCGGGAGAGAGAGGGGCGGGCGGATAATTTCCAGCGGCGGTTCAGAGGGAAGGCGTTCCCTTCTTACTGCTCGCTCGGGGAAGGAACCTGTGCCTCCCGGGCATCGAATCGTTTCGTCAAAGCCCGCGGGCGCCCCGAAAACAAAGCTGAACGCATCATAGCCAAAAACAACAGGCGCGGAGGAGAGGGCACGCAAGAAAGGAAGGAGGAAAAAAGCGGGGGGGGGAGCTTTGGGGCCAGGCCGGGCTTGAGGGCGTGCAGGGAGCTCTCGAGGTGTGTGGAGTGTTCGCTGTGGGGTGGGGGAGCCCCTTCGTTTTTTTGGTGCTGTCTTTTTTTGGCGAAGGATTGTGTGTGTCTGTCTCCCAGGCAGGGTTGGTCAGGGTTCGGCAGCAGCGGTGGAAGTCCCGAAAAAAAACGAGCCACATCCTCCTGCGCAGTATTTGCAAATCCACACGTCAATCTTTCTCATACATTTTTCGCGCGGGTGCTCGGGGTGACGCACATCTTCCGCCCCGAAACGACCAGCCCGAATCCTGCTGATGATCCCCACCCCTTTCCTCTCTGGCCGTTCCGTGGTCTCGCTCTCTGCTGGCGGTGTGGTGGGACAACCTCTCGCACGGACGAAAATCATTTTTCTACTCTTTATGTGAGACTGCGAACACGCAGTGTAGTTGCTCCTGAGCCCACACACACACGATACGTGTTACGCATTATGATACAAGTATGTCCTTGTTGCACTATCGGGGCCAGCAGCAACCCCCAGATCAACCACCACACCCATCCGAAACCTGCAGCAGGTCGGGTCCGCCGCAGCTTCGAGGCTGTGCGTGACCCAGTCTGCTGGCAGATGGAGCAGCATCGCTACTCTGGCGTCCCGGACCAGAATGCACGCCCTATCCATGGCGCCCCGCAACCAGATGGGTCCGCGACAGGATACGCCCAGCATCAACAGCAGATTTATCGACCCATGAGAAGCCCAGATTCCCATGCAGGCGTAGCATCATCAGCCCCGACCGCTGCTCCGGCTAGCCAACAGCAGCAACAGCAGCAGCAGCAGCATCACGTGGCTGCAGGCTATGCGGCGGCCGGATACGCTGCAGCGGCGCAGCAGGCGGCGGCGCGGCATCAACAACAGCAGCAGCACCAACAACAGCAGCAGGCGGCGGGGCTAATATCTTCGCCGGAGTACCTTGCCTACCGGGCCGTGAGCAGCAGCTCGAGCGTGCCGGGTGCGACGGCCGTGCCGGCATCCTCTCCGGCAGCAGCTTCGGCGGCCACGCTGGGAGGGGGGCCAGCCGCAGCCGCGGCCAGCGGCAGCGACTCGCCGCGTGGAACTCTGGGCGTATCTTACGGTGGCGCTCCCCCTAGCATGTCAGTCGGCTTGCCTTCCGCTGTTGCACAGCGTCTGGCAGCTCAGCAGCAGCAACAGCAGCAGCACTCATACTCAAATATGGGCTCTGTCGTGGCGGGCACTGGTGTGGGCCGTAGCATGAACGAAGGCTACGGTGGCGTGGGCCAGCAGCGACAACAGCAGCAACAACATCTCCAGCAGCAGCAACACCAGCAACACCAGCAACACCAGCAGCAGCAGCAGCAGCAGCAAATGCCGCCGCAGGTGGAGTACTACCGCACGATGGTCCAGCAGCAGCAACAACAGCAACACCAGCAGCACCAGCAGCAGCTGAGCAACGCCGGCTTCTCTGCTGCGGCGACATACAAGCCACCGCCGCCCCGGTCAGCCTACCCGATGAACCCCGCCGCCACCGCCGCCGCCGTTGCGGCCGCCGCCGCCGCAGCCCGCGTCGTCCCGCAGCAGCAGCAGCAGCAGCAGCAGCAGCAGCAGCAGTCGAACGCTGCAGCATCGTGGGGCCGGGGTGCTTCTCCCGCCGGCGGCGGCCACGGAAACGGCGCAGTCCACGGCGGCGCCGGCGGCGCGGCCGCCGTTAGCAAAGGCGGGGCGGGAGGCGGCGGCGGGGCTAACGAAGGCCTCCAGCAGCAGCACCAGCATCAGCCGCAGCAAGGGACCGCCGCTGTTGCTGCCGCTGCAGCTACAGCGGGGGCAGCGGCGGCGTCACCGCCGCCGCCGTCGGCCATTGGTGCTGCCGGCACCACCGCGCCGGCGACGATGAAAACTGAACCAGCCGGCGGGCACGGAGCGGCGGCGGCGTCGGGAGCGGCGGGAGCTAGCCCGGCGGCGGCACCTGCCGACGGGGAGCGCCTGCCGACGGTTTCCAGGGAATTTGCTGAGCAGATGTCGCCCTCGGCGCTGCAGGCCATCAAGCAGATTTCAAAGGTGAGTTTCTTCATGTGCTGAGCGCGCAATATCGTGTGTATCAAAGTTTAGAAAACAACACTGGAAGTGCAGTCTTGTAGTCGTTTCTACAGCAGTTGACAAATGCAGTGCAAGTGGGACACATTTTTTTTCCGGAAGATTATCTTGAGATATATAGTCTATATATCCATTCTTCGGTCTTCTGTGTCACTGCTTTTTTTTTTTTATTCGCGAAAAAGCGCAAAGATTCCTGTCCGTTTTTCCTGATGGGCCGTACAGTGGAAGTCGGGTGCACCCACGAAGCAATCGTTCGCCTCCCGATACCGCAGCAGGCATCACATGTTAACAAATATTACAGCAGCCAGTTATTGTAGCGCGACTACGCCGAGATTCGAAGTCGTCTTGGCTCATCGGGCAAGTTGAGGTTGCGGGCTGTTTCCAACAAATACCTGGGGGAGAAACTTTCTCAAAATTTCATCCTCGCATCCACCTCATGCAGCAGCAGCACGTGTGCATGTATGTGTATCCCAAGTGCATCCCTGTCCTCGTCGAATCCCATGGATTTGTTTTCGACGATATTCGGTCGTGGTCATTTTTTCTTCTCGCTCAACATCACAAATGTGTTCACAGATCTTCGAACCCCTAGTCCATATATATCGCCAAGACGCCCCCGCCCCCCTGCTTGGCGATGGATCAGATGGCAGGCGTGACATGCGGAAAAGGAGGATAGGAATGGCACGCGAATTCCAGGGCGGTTGTTGTTACAAATGGTTACATACAACTCTTTTGGCAGTGCACAAAAAAAGCGCGACCCGACCCCGTGCTTGGTACGTCTCTGATCGACGTATTCGTGGTCAACTGACTCTCACGGCAAGCGACACATGTAAGCAACCCCCCCCCCCCCCCCCCCCCCCCCCCCCCNGTACCTCTCCGGCAGGGGTCGCGACAAACCATCCGCGAGCGACGAGGATCAAGAGCCGGTGCTGCCCATGGGGCCAACGCCAGAGCTGGCGCCTGCGGCGGGGGGCTACGAGAGCTCCGACGGGGGGCACACGGGGGGGGCGGGGAGGGGGCAAGGGTGGAGGTCTGCCCACAGGGGCGGCGCGTATTCTCTCTCGCTGTAAGTGATGTTTTTTCTCGGCTCTCCTTAGCTTTTTTTGTCCTGTGGGGAGGTTTTCGTGTTTTTCAGAATTTGTTCGTGTGTTGGTCGACGACTGGTCGTGGCGGCGACTGCTGTGCTTGGTGGGGGGAGTATTTTTTGTTATTTTAGATTTGTTTGTTTGTGTGTTTGTCGGCGACTGCCCATGGCGGCGACTGCAGTGCGAAACGATTCGAGCGAAAGGAGTCGAAAAATGTAACCACGGCGCGGAACAATGCAAACGAAATCGACCCGAAAATGAAGTTATGAAGCACCTCCTTTTTGATCCCAAAAGCGGGCGGGAGGGTGGAAAGGAAGGTGGCAGCGCGCTGTTACTCAGGCCTTCCTACAATACCACGCATATGGCACAATTATCAAGGAGAGACTTCGTGTGCAGAAAACTCCGGCTTGAGAGTGCTGTGTTGTTCTTTCCAATACAGTGCTGGTGCGACGCACACCTGATTGAATCGGCACACCTTGCGTTCTTCAGGAGGAACGAAAAACGTGTCCTACTAGGCCACAAGAGCTGTATTTCTACGTTGGATCCAGCCTGCGTACCGCCCTCGCCCCCCCTTCCTCCTGTTCGCCCCCTCTGACTGTTGCACCTTCTTGCCGAAAACGTTGCGCTCACTGGTGGAACAGCAACAACAGTAGCAACCCGCGCTCCGGGGGCGGGGTGGGCGGCACCGGCGCCGGTGGTAGCGCAGCAAGCGGCGGCGGCGGCGGTCACAGCCAAGACGCGGCGAAAGACTCGAGCCGCGCCACGCTCGGCCAGCTCGCCGCCAAGGTGCAGGCGGAAGAGAAGAGCCGCCGCACCCGCGCCGGCGTGGGAGACGGCGTCAGGGATGGGGATGACACCGCCACCGGCGGCGGAGGCGACGCCAGGAGCGATAACAACGGCGAAGACGGCAGCGTGGCGAGTGGTGGCGGCGCCGGCGCCGGTGGCGGTGGGGGCAACAGTGCCGGGGGAAGAGGCGGCGGGGTGAACGGTGCTGGGGGGGGGTACGGCGGGAGTGGAGACAACAACGACAGCGATGGCGGCGGAGACAGAGGAGGAGGAGGAGGAGGAGGCGAAGGCGGTGGGGAGGGCAGGGGAGCGGCGAGAGCGGATGGCGGCGAGGGTGTCGGCGAAGAGGAGTCTGACGGGGAGGACAGCGAGGGGCTGTGCCTCCCGGGCACGGAGCAAACGGGGCGTTGGACCAAGGCCGAGCACGAGCTGTTTCTCAAGGTGAGCGTGACGCTCGGGATGCCTGTGTACTGCTGTATGACAGCGATGTGGCAAGGAGCCGAA